CTTTAGTATTTACCATAGGAGGCCTTTGTTTGCTGAATAAATCAATGAATGAGTTATTGTGACCCCACTGTACTTTGAGTGTCAGCAATGAAAATAATAGGTAAGAGAACATGGTGTGGTTTCTTACTTTAATGGACTACAGAAGCATTTGTTCTTTGTCACAGTCTCTCAGTCACTGGTCTGCTTGTTTCCTGTTCATCCAACAGTTCCCTCATGTGCCAGGTTCTGCTCTGTATTAATTCTCTCACAACAGAGAATCCTTGCAAGGAGGCATCGCACCCTTCTCACATTTAACACTGGTGAATGCGTAGGGTGGTGTTGGTACTCAGTAAGTATTCACCCCAAAAATGAATACCAGCAGCCTGGAAATATAAGAGGACCTCGCTGTACTGGGAGCCGCAGGCACCGCAGCCTCATTTGCTGGACTCCTGATAGCCTAGAATCTTAAACATATTTTTTTCCCTTTTTGGTTTTGTTTTGTTTTGGGAATGAGTGCATGGAAACTTCCCCCAAGCTCTGCATCTCACCCTTTCCCTGTACATTGAGGATGCAAAGGCCGGGCTGGTTGGGGGGAAAGAACCTCCTAATGTCTAGATTCCAATACCTTTGAGAGACAGAAAGACCGATGTATCAGTGGGTGATGCTGTGGGATCTCCATCTAGTAGCTTTTTCTCTCTCTGCCCATACCCGTGCCCCTTTGTTGTTCATCTCCATAGATCATAAAATAGTAATGTATTTGGTGCTGCTGCCAAACAAGAAAACCACTCTTAAGGCATGTTGAAACTTTTACTGCTTAGACTATCACCTTAAATCTTTTCTTTGCCCGTTTTCCTATTGCCCTTCCCTAACCATCCTGGTGCACACCCCCAGAGTTCGATAACTGATTTGTTGGGTTTTTAAAAAGATTTTTATTGGGGAATTGGGGGATGGGAACAGCACTGGGGAATTGGGGGAAGGGGAACAGACAAGTTGCTGTCATTTTGTTCTTCAGTCTAGTTGTGGAGGACGTTGCTTCACTGGCCCAAGTTGGCACCATCACTGCGCTCTTCCCAGGTGAGGCAGATCAGCCACCGGCTTCTGGACGGCCACTCACCGCGGCTTGAAGGCCGCTCACGCTGGCTGCTGGCTACACATGGTAGTCCATGGCAACCCACTGCCACAGGGGCTGCAGCCTACGTCGTCACCTGTGACTCACAGCAGCCCAGCTCCAGGTTGAGCTGTTGTTCAGCATCTTAGCTGTGGAGGGCAGTGTCACTGGCCCTCATATGTGGGATCCGAACCGGGGCCCTCTGGCGTCCCAAGCCAGCTCTTAACCAACGCGCCACTCGGCCAGCCCAATAACTGATTTGTTAATTACGCTGAGGCCCTTCCCATGAATGGTTAGAGCTGCTATACAGTATGATGGGTGATATTTGCGGCCATGTGTACACACTTCAGTATATTGGGATCCATGTAAACAAGACTGTCTTGGTTATAGAGTTTGGTTTTCCTATGTGAGAACAGTAATAAAATCTGCATATAAGTGGTTACCATATTCAAAGCTATTCAAGTTCCTGCTAAGTCCAGGGGATACAGTGGTGAGAGAGACAGACAGTGTAGTGTGAGAGACAGGCCAGACGAGGAACAAATATATAAACACAAGCTCCCATCAGTTGTGGAGGAAAACATTAGGATGCCATGTGAAAGAGTGACAAGCTCAGCTTCAGTAGAGTGGTCAGACTGCTTTTCTGAAGATGTGACAATTAAGCTGAAATTTAGAGATCAAAAAGGATTCAGTCATGTTAGGAGGGCAAAGAAGGCCATTGCAGGCAGAGCAGAAGTAATGTTAAAAATTAGAAGTGTTTGCCACTAGCCAGTAACTGGATTCTGGGTGGATAAGTGCTGTGTGTTATTTTCCCAGTTCCCTTAGTTCAGAGCATGAATGGGTAGGTCCTAGATGCTTCAGGGTTCTTCTAATGAGAAGCATCTAACATCCTTCATGGTGACTTATTCTTTCATGATCTGTGATTGATGGAATTTTGCTTCTGGACATTTTAAGGACAATTTTAGCAGTTCTTTCTCACATGAAGTTGAGTAATTCAAAATGATAGTATTGAAATCGTTTTGGGGGTATAGATTTTAATGAGTGCCCATTCTCAGACATTTTAGGTTCACTGTCAGGCACATCACAGAGACCAGGATGATTTTTAGAGCTAAATGTAGCCTGCTAGACAATAAAACAAAAATATAGGTTCATAAACCTCTGAGGAAGAAAAGACAAGTTACCAAATGACTGAAGGCACCAGAACCTCAGAGGGCAGCAGGGTCTGGGGTCGTGCCGCCCACTGGGGGGTCCTCACAGAGTGGGTTCCAGAAGTATCTGCTGAGTGAACAAATGAAAAGACTCTGAGCAGACACACGTGGCTAAGTAGGAACATTAAGATATATTGTATACATATCTTTAAAATAAACTCGAATTGCGAATCATGGATTTTAAGTTTGTTTTTATTGGGTTGTTAGAAAAGTCATGATGCATTTTTGCAATGAAAAACATAGAAAAAATACATCATGACTTTTCTGACAACCCAATATTATTTTCAACAAATGGTGAATTCATAAGGTTATGACGGGCAGAAACTTGAAAGTTTTTATCTTCCTAACTAATGGTTGGGGGGTATCGTGAAAACAATATCCAGAGGACTTGAGCATCTCTTAGACTCAGGGCTGGTTATGTATCCTGTGTGTTTCCTACCTGTGTGGCTTTGGATAAGTGATTTAATCTTTCTGTTTTTCTGTGTCCTCATTTATAAAGTGGAAATAATAGTAGAACCTACCTGATAGGCTCATGGTGAGAATGAAACCAGTTAAAATGTGTAAAGCCCTTGAAACCGTGCCAATCACACAGTAAGCTCTTTACAGTATGTGCTAATTGTCATTGTCGTTTTCACCCTCTTCTCTTCCTCATCACCATCATCACAACTATACTTTCCATGTTTTAGGTCACTTTTATCAGGAGCTCTCACATCCCAAGTGATAACCAGAAATGAAAAACTGACTACAATCTTTAAAAACACAAACTTTTGTGATGCATATATTTGGATTTTTGTTTGTTTCCTTAACAGCTTAAATGAGATAAAATTCACATACTATCAAATTCACTCTTTTAAAGTGTACAATTCAGGTGTGTGTGTTTTTAGTATATTCACAAAGTTGTGTAACCATCATAACTATCTAATTTAGAATATTTCATCTCTCCAAAAAGAATTTTAGAACATTTTCATCACCCGCAAATCTATTACCAACTTCTACCCATTCTTCCATCTTCCCAGGGGACATGGGATGTCTTTCCATTTATTTAGATCTTCTTTAATTTTTTTCAGTGATGGTTTGTATAAGTCTTGCACTTTTTTTTGTTAAATTTATTTCTAAGTATTTGATTTTTTATGATGTTATTGTAAATGGAATTGTTTTCTTAATTTTATTTTCAGATTGTTCACTGCTATATATTTGGAGGTTTTTGACTTTGGATTTTTTTAAATTTTATTGTAGTAAAATATACATAACTTACCATTTTAATCATTTTTAAGTGTACAATTCACTGGCATTAAGTAAGTATTCACAATGTTGTGTAACCATCTCCACTATCTTTTTTGAGAACTTTGTCATCACCCCAAACAGAAACTCTGTACCCATTAAGCAATAGGTACACATCTCCACATTCCCCTCCCCCCAGCTCATAACAACCTCTAATGTACTTTCTGTGTCTCTGCGAGTTTACCTATTCTGGGTGCCTCATGGATATAGAATCATACAGTATTTTCTCTTGTGTCTGGCTTACTTCACTCAGCAAATGTTTCAGGGTTCATCCATGTTGTAGCATGGATCAGAATTCTGTTCGGTTTTTTTTTTTTAAGATTTTATTGGGGAATCAGGGAAAGGGACAGACAAGTTGCTGTCCTTTTGTTCTTTAGTCTAGTTGTGGAGGACTTTGCTTCACTGGCACATGTTGGTATTAACATTGCACTCTTCCCGGGTGAGGCAGATTAGTTGCAGGACTCTGGACAGCCACTCACGGCGACTCTTGGCAGCTCACACTGGCTGCCGGCCGGTCACGCTGGCTGCTGGCCACACATGGTAGCTTATGGCAGCCCACTGCAGCAGGGGCTTCAGCCTACACCGTCGCCAGCGACTCACAGCAGCCCAGCTCCAGGTCAAGCTGTTGTTCACCATCTTAGCTGTAGAGGGCGCAGCGTCACTGGCCCTCATGTGGGATCCGAACAGGGGCCCTGCTGCTCAGAGCTGGTATCCCAAGCCAGCGCTTAACCAACACGCCATTCTGCCAGCCCAGAATTCCGTTCATTTTTATGGCTAACTGATATACCATTGTCCGTATATACCACATTTTGTTTATGCATTTATCTGTTGATGGATATTGGATTTTTCCATCTTTTGCTATTTTGAATAATGTTGCTATTAACATTGCTGTACAAGTATCTGTTCAATCCTTGCTTTCAGTTATTTTGGATTTTTATTTAGGATGGAGTTGTTAGTTCATGTGGTAATTCCATGTTTAACTTTTTGAGGAGCAGTGAAACTATTTCCACAGGAGCTGCAGCATTTTATATTCCTACAAGCAATGCATGAGGGTTCCAATTCCTCTGCATCCTCACCAACACTTGTCATTTTCCACTTTTTAAAATGGTAATCATCTTAATGGAGGTGATATTTGTCTTTAGATTAAGAATTAGAATACATCTAACAAATTTATGTTGGTGCAACAGTTAATCCCTCAGACAGATACATACAAAGTATATAATATTGAAAAAATTCAAGGAAAATTGTGAATTTTTTCTATTTATTGTTAGCTTTATTTCCTTCTTATAACTGTAATTTCCATACTTTGCTCTAGTTGAGGATAAACAAATGAAAACTGGGCTTTTAGCATATGGAAAACATATATATAAAATGTAATTTTAAAGTTTGGAAAATATAATGCTTCCTATCTTTTCTATTATGTGAAGACGACGGAAACTATTGTTAGAACTGTACCAGGAAAGGATGAAGAGATGTGTGGATATTTCTCGAACCCTTCTTTAATGTCATCAGAATGTTTATCAACAACCTTGAAGAAGAAGGCAGAAGACATGAGCGACGTCCCTTCTGAGAGTCACAGAAGCATACCGCTCGCTGTGACGGACGCGCTGGAGCATATTATGGAGCAGCTCCATGTGCTGACACAGGTGGGTCGGCGTGCTTTGCACTTGGGGGTGACATGTGCAGAGTGATCCTGGTCACAGCAGGTTGCAGAACTAGCAGAGCAGGGGGAGAATTTTCTTTCTTAGAAAGACAAGCTCAAGGCATATGCTCGGTTGAGCTGCTCTAGCAAGATCTTGTGGAGATAAGGTCAGAGCCCATGCACATATGACATATGCATATGCAGGCGCACACACACACACACACACACACACACACACACACACACACACACACACTCACTCTCACACTACTATACCTGGCATCCAGGAGCCAGACGGGAGCAGCAGAGACTATGAAGAAAGGTGGTGGTGCTCCTCTCTATCAATGTATTTGACCCTGGGCAGCAATGTTTTTCCTTAAGAATTTTTGATGTCATGTGTTCCGATTAGGACATTATCAAAGCCATATTTAGAGCCATAAGAAAAGTGTATTAGGATTAACCATCTCTGGTTAGAATGACATATTGGCTGTGTTTACAGTCTTCACTCTGAATACAGTCCCACTATGCAATATACAGCTTCCTTCAAAGTTTCTTACATGATACTGTGTTCTTCCGAAGCTGAGGGTTTTGCATTCCCATTGTAAAATATTACCCAGGTCTTAAATGCCCGTTTACCTTTGCAGAGAAGGAATACAGTGGATGTTAATATACCAGAGGTCTTCCAACTAGTGGTCAGGAGATGCGGATGTCACTGAAGGGAAGTGGTGTGTTGAAATCGATACACCGACTGTCTCTCTCCAGCCCTGCTGACTCAGTGTTTCCTTTGAGAGCCTCTGTTGTTCCTCTTTGATACATAGACGGAGGATACCAGTATCCGTCAGAGCAGACATTGTCACAAGTTAGAGAGGCTATAATGTGATCACGAGAGATGTCAATTACTTTTCCAGAACAAATATTTCAAGTTGAAATAGCTCATTCATAGAAATCTTCTAATTCTGTTCTCCGCCTTGGCTGTACATTATAATCACCTGGACAGTTCAAAAGCACACAAATGTTCAGTTCTCATCTCCAGAGGATTCATTTACAGGCCCTGGCATCAGCTTTTTGAACACCCCATATGATTCTGTTTTATAGCCAGGGTTTAGAGCCGCTAAATACAGGGTAAGATTATTCAGCTGCCAAAGTGAGTCTTGCTTGGCTTGATCCCCACGTTGCCGTGACTTGCTCACCTGTTGCATTCCATGTTGGGTCCCTCAGGGCCTCTCCCAAGTGAATCTTTCCCTTCTCCACTCTTTCAGCTTCATGGCCCATTTCTCCTTCCTTTTACCTGATTCAAGAATACATGAGTCACTTTATATTTATTGAACACCTCTATGATTTTTTATCTTTAATGTTGAAAAGCTGGCTTTCTTTTACGTGTGAATGAGGTTGAAAGCAGGCACAGCACACGTGCAAGATGGGAATGGCAAGCTGTGGGCTAGTGGCAAGTAAAGCAACCATGTTCTCATTCACGTACTTACAGATGACTGGGCCTCTAACTCAGCTGCGGTGTTCATAACTACTGAACTGTAATTAGAAATAAATGAAAGTAAAACTATGTTTTAGATGGTAGATAAATGGAGTTTAACCAGTGGTAAAGGTGGTGGTGACATATGGATCGACAGCCTTAGCATGTGGAACTGTGATAATTTATGTTTGTCAAAGTATTGGCAAAATGCTTGACCCATAGTAGCCATTCAAGAAATGATAGAATATACTACTATTTTTAGTCATAATCTATAGTATGACATATGAAAGCAAAAATATTAAATAATGATATATTTTTTTAATGTATTACCTTCAGAGGATGATAGGGCATCAATTCATTATCTTGGAACTTGTTGACTAAAATAAACAAGCATTTACCCTGCTTTTCCTCAATGAACTCCACCACTGGGTAACTAAATATTAGATGAATGAAGTGTCTCTGATTTATAAATTATTCCAACTATAATTTTTAAGTGATGGAATTAGAATATCATCATTTTCAATCCTCAAGAATTAATAAATCTTCGCATTGAGTAGTTATGCACATCATGAAGAGAAATGACCAAACCCTAGTAATGTGTCTTCTGATGAAAGGATAGACCACCACTTACAGCCTTACCAAGGGATCGAACCTAAATCTTAAGCAAGCCTTTGAATCCAGCTGTCAATTGACAGAACATAAGGAGGGTGGAAGAATATACTGCACTGTACCCTGAGTGTGCCATTCCTGACATCCAGACTGGTGGGAACTTTCCGGGTCAAATGGGCTGAGCCTGTCGACAGACAAATTGTAAAGAAAATAAAGGGAAGCGATAGGAATGTACACATTAAAAGAGGCTTTCAATGACATATCAAATCTTGAAACTGTAGAAGACAATATTATCGTGTTCAGGGATGTACACCTGAAAGATTAAATGATAAAGAAATGCAAGCAAGTGATTACTATAGTGGTCAGAATAATGGCTGTTATGGGGGGGGGGGCGGTGATTCTGACCGCACACGGAAGGCTCTGGGGAGTGGGGCAGAGTTCTCATTCTTGACCTGGGTGCTGGTTATTATTGTTTTTCTCATGAGAATTCATTAAGTGACACGAGTTTTATGTAGCTTCCTAAATCTGTTTTATTTTATAATAAAAAAATTTTTTAAAGATGTAAAAGACTAAAGATGAAGTAGTCAATATCACAAAAAAATTGGATATCCCGCCCTTAAAAGTAGTCCTTTGTATGCGCACATGCGCGCGCGTGTGTGTAGTCACACTCGTTTATTAGCTGAAGGAGTTAGGCTAGCTGAGGTCATCGAGCCCTGTATTCCAGGCACTAGCTGAAGCCTTTTCCATGCATTATTTCGGTCAGTCTTCCTAACAACACTATGAGGTGCTATATCTTTTGGGTATGAGAACTGGTGGCAATCATCATGACATTTTCAAAGTAAACTAAGTATCCAGCTGTCTAGGGTGGTATAGGAATGGTCTATCATAAATTGATTGTGAAGGTATGACCAGTGATGACATTTAGTAGCACCTGGGCCGGGTATGTGACATTCATGACCCCACCCTGCCCCATTCCCCACACTCCCGTGTAGCCTGTGCCACCACTCAGATTGCTGCATGGCCTCTTCCCTGGCATTGATGCTTTGGAAGATCAGACATAAGGATTGTCTACAGACACTGTTCTTTTAGTCCCTTTTCCTCAGATGCATCAGGTCTTTTTCTTTTACTCACTGCTTGACAGTGTTTTGCACTGTGGTTGGGCCAAAAGCAGAGCAAGTTCTGGGGCTTATTTTTGAGCCACTTCCTGGCAGAAGGGTGGGCACTGCAGTCCTGGAAAGGACCTCCTCTGCAGAGATGATCATCATCCTCCTCACCACCCGGTCCCCAGCCATTGATTATTTTGTTCTCCTTTTTGCAGACTGTTTCAATCTTGGAGCAGCGGCTGACTTTGACAGAGGATAAGCTGAAAGACTGCCTTGAAAATCAGCAAAAGCTTTGCAATGCTATCCAACACAAAAGTTAAACAGAAAACTATGAGCAGAGGCACGATAAATGAACACATGTACCTATACACAGAAAGGTATAGGCTTCGTGTAATGCATCCATGCGCTGATTATCATGGCATTTCTAAAAAGGACGAGCAACAGAACAAAAGGCAGGAGGGGCATAATTACAGACTAACTTAAACCTGCAAATTAGTGTCAAGGATTAATTCAGATCATTACCATGTATGATTGCAGTAATAAAGTGATAAGCATTCGAGTGCCTCTATATTTTCCCCATGTTATTTTAAATGTCAGTTTTCATTTATAGTCCAAATCTACCAGGAAAGTAACCAAATCTCTGGATTTCATTGTTAAATCATTTCAAATTGACCATGTTCGGGCAATTCCTTAAAGCAATGAATGTATTCTTTTAGTGAACACCCTTGGGGTAAAATAATTCACTTACCTCTAAAACAGCATTCTGTATGTAGAGAATGAGTTAATGTTCTGTCTTGCATTTCTTTCAGTTCAAAGAAAACATTTATCCTTTCTTACCAATGCCTTGAAAAGATAATCTTATAAAAATTTGCAAAACACAGAATTGCCACAGCAGGAATACACTTACTTTAACAATAATAGCACGTGCATGACAAAGGTCAGTGGGTTTTTATTTAAATTATGGTGTGGATTGTTTATCCTTTGATCAACCTGAAAGAAAATGAAGAGTTAAAAATATGTGAAGTACATTATCTTTTCTTTCACAGATGAATTCACTGAGTGATTTGAGTTGTACTCAAACCTGTGATCCCAGTTTACAAAGATTACGTTAGTATGATTTCATTATGCTCAAAAGCCAGAATGAAGCAACAGCAGTATTTAAAAATACACACACACGTATGTTCACATGCTTCAGAAATGTTGCTTAGGGTGATTTGGCAGCTGAATTACAAGTACTTAAAAAAATTTGTATCATCTTCCTACTTTTTTTTTTTTATATAATGAATTGTGATTTGAAACTAAATGAAAATGAGCCAGGCATACTAAAAGATCTCGGTTACAAATTAAGAATTTTGTTTTATCTTAAGCAAAATAAGAGATTAAATTGAAGAAAAACAGGCCGATGTTAGCTTGCTTTTCTGTTAACCTGTACCAAGAACAAAGAAGGTGGGAGAAGGCAGTCCACATTTATGATGTCTGTAAGTAACATGGGGAAAACGCTATCTGTTTATGTTTTGGAAAACAAGAAAAAGTGGAGTCCTATTTATGTAGGAGTTTATATTTAGAAGTTTTTCTCAAAGCAATTTCAATGGTATCTATGAGGTGCTTTTTACATTATCTCGTGTGTTTTAAGTGCCTTTTTATATTACACTAAGTGTGAACTTCTAGGCATTTTTAAGAGTTTATAAAGACCAAGTGGCATTGTATTTTTATAACCTCACTGAGAAAACTAAGAAATGAAATGTCGTACTGATTTTTACTTTTTTTAATGCTGCAAACAATAAAGACATTTTACCTATAAAAAAAGTTGTTTCTTTTTTATTTAATGATTAAAACCTGGAAATACTAAACTTCTTATCACCTAGCTCATTCAACTTTAATGTGGATAACAATTTCCTGAAAAACTTGTCAAAAAACGGTTTCCTGGGCCCTTCGAGTTTAGGATTCACTGGGTCTGTGGGGCCCAATAATTTGCATCTCTCAGAAGCTCCCAGTGAGGTTGACCTTGGCCTGAGGTCTGCACTGTAGAAACCATTGATCTAGCTATGGCCACTTGTTAACGTGATGTTGCCATGTATTTTTAGTCATCGCAGACCTTTATAAGTGATATAAAAACAGTGATGAATGAAATAAATTTAAATGCCTTGCAACTTTTCAAGAGAATCATTTCATACTCCCTTCCTCCCACATTTTTTTAAAAGCTTTTGCAGATTCTCCCTGGTGTTGACCAGATTCTATCCTCTCATCTTTCCTAACGTGTATATTCAACTGTCTGATCAACATCTCCACTTGGAAGACTAGTAGGCATCTCTAAATATGTCCAGAACCTAACGTTTGCCACACACCCCCACCAGCCAGCTCCTTTCCTAGGCTGCTCATCTCCGTAAGTGGCTACTCTCCCTCCAGCTGCTCAGGCTGAAGACCTTGAGGTCATCCTGTACTCTTTTTCTCTCACACCCCACATTCCATTCCTTCAGCAAAACTTGTCCAAACATATGAAGCAAATCATCACTTCTCACCACCTCACTTCTCATCACCCACTAAAGGCCAAGCCACCATCATCTCTACCTGGATGACTACACTTACTGTCACCACAGGCAGAAAAACTGGGTTGTGGGGAAGGGGGCGGGGAAAGGAAGGAGGATGTGAGGAGACAAAGGAAAGAGAGGAGATGAGATCATTCCTAAGAAAAGGTGCAGCTACAGCTAATTGTAATGGATTATGACACTGTTAGTATCGCAGGAAAAAATCATCACCCCCCCCCCCAGTGTCACCATGACAGTTCCAACAAGGGCCCAGAAAGAAGGGAATCCCACCTCCCAACAGGAAGGAGTGGTCAGCAGGGACAGCCAGCACCCACCTAGGAACGCCTGTAACGCCGCCCCTAAAACTTGAATTTTTCGTGCCTTCCTTAATAAAATCCTAAACTGCTTTGTTCTTTAGAGCAGCTGCCCTCCTCCCGGCCTGCCCATTCCCATTATTTTGGGAGTATACGCTTTTTCTTAAATATATCCGCGGCTTGCTTGGATTTGTTCGCATGATTCATTCGGTACTTCCTGGAATTCCTTCCTGCAACACGATACAAGAACTTTCTCATCACCCGCACCCCCTTTCCCCCCACCATCATTATCTCCTAACTGGTCTCCCTCTTGTCACCCTTGTGTGGCAGGCCAGAGGGGTTCCTGAAAAGCCCAAGTTAAAACACGTGGCTTTTTGCCTCAAAACCCTTCAAGCCTTCCCATATTAGAAAGAAAGCCCAAGACTTGGCAGTATGTGATGTTCTCTCCTACCTACTCCTCTGGGACATGGCACCCTCCCCCTTTGGTTACCCTCACTTACTGTCTCTGGCCATGGTGGCCTCTGCTTGCCTTTGAAGAGGCAAACCAGCTCCCACCCAAGGGCATTTGTACTTGCCATTTTTCTGTGCCTGAACTGCTCTATTCATCATAACATTTCAGCCCTGCTAACAGGCTGCCTTTTCAGATGTGCCCTCCCTAAGTGCCCTGGATGAAATATGGGGTCGTCGGAAAAGTCATGACGTATTTTGTCTATGTTTTTTAAAGGTCATTTATTTATATAAAGAACAAAGATCAATCAATGACATACTGCCTGTTTTGTTCGATAACCTTTTGCCATCTTTCAGTGAGCTTCATAATTCCTCGTTCAAAGAAGGACCTGTCTTTATTTGTGAAAAACTGAACAAGGTGATGATTTACAGCCCTATCTGAATTGAACGTTATACCATGCAAGGAGTTTTGAAGAGAGCGAAACAAGTGGAAGTCTGGCAGCGCAAGGTCAGGCGAGTGTAGTGGGTATGGCAACACATCCCCTCCAAACTCCAATACTTTTGGACAGGTGATCAAACTTCTGTGTGGTCTCGTGTTGTTACCATGGAACACAACTCCTTTACAATTAACAAGCTCTGGACGTTTCTGGATGATGGATTCATTCAAACTGTCCAATTGCCAACAGTACACATTCAAATTGATTGTTTGGTTCCTTGGTAGGAGCTTGAAAAACACGACGCCTTTAAAATCCCACCACACTGAGAGCATAACGTTCCTCTGATGAATGTCTGCATTCAATGTCATTTGAAGCAAATCATCACATCAGGACCAAGACCGTTTGTACACCACATTGTTGTAAACAATCCACTTCTCATCACCAGTTATCAGTCGCTTCAAAAAAGAATCGTTTTCCTCAGGTTTAATGAGCATATTGCAGATGTTTATACGTGCCATTCAAATGAATTTCTTTGAGTTCATGTGGAACCCAAAGAGCGAGCTTGCTTACATATCCCAGCTTCTTCAGGTGGTCGTGAACACTTGAATGATGGATGTTCAGTGTTTCTGAATCTCTCGTGTAGTGTAATATGGGTTTGACTCAATCAATGCCTTTATTTTGTTTTCATGAACCTCGGAGGGCCTCCCTGACCGAGGAGCGTCGTTGAGATCAAATCACCAGCACAGAATTTCGTGAACCATCGTTGGCACTGACGTTCTTGTAGAGCATTGTCACCATAAACTTTATGCAACTTTTCACAAACTTAACGCATGTTCTTCCCTTTATGGAAGTAAAACAGTAAACTATTGCAAAAATGCACAGTTTGGTCTTCCATATTCAACTTGTAAAATCTCCAAAACTCAACCAAATCACTCAATTTTTTTTTAGAATGAAGCTAGAACTGTCAGCTGTCAAATGACATAGCAATAACATAGATGTGAGTGACTCTAGTACTTCCAAAAATGAACGAGTGCCATCTGTTGCAAATATGCCTCATGACTTTTCCGATGACCCAATAGTAACCCCATCCCCTCCCTGTGTATCTGGTACAACACAGATTGCAATACAGTTGCAGTTCTTCCACAATGACATGACCTTCCCACAAAGCAAGGACTGTCAGGGTCAGATCCCCCACCCCAGCACCTTGCCTCATTCATAGGAAGAGATAAATAAATAGTTGTTGAATACACAAGGAGTTTTCAGTTATTCAAAGGGCTTTAAAACCTTGCTGTTCACTTCACTTAGAGCCCAAAGCAGTAAAAACTAGATGGAATGAACTGGAACAAATAACATTTCTGTTTTAGATGCTTTGGATCTAAATTTCGCTGTAAATTTTAGGTCCTTGTTGTTTGGGCTGAGTGGACCTTGTTCTGACTGCTGTGTGTGGTATAGCACAGTAGTTATATGCATGGTTTTGAAGCCAGAAAGACTTGGGTGCAAATTCTGGCTTTGCTTTTCTCTAGCAGTGTGACTTCTCGGAAAGGTACTCACAGTGCTTAAGTTTCCTTAACTATATAGAAGGTGAACATAATAATGTAAATTGTGTTTGTGAAATGATTATCACATATCTGTAACAGAGTTAACTATTCAATAAATGTAGCTATTGCTATGAACCATTTTTTTTCTGGACTGAATTTCTGAATAATACGATTTCAACTACAACTATGGAAGACATACAGAGACTATTATTAAGTTGTATGGATGAAACAAAGGGGTTCTATAGAAAGTAACCTCAGCTTTCCATCCCTTTCCGGCGTTCAAGATGTCGAAGCA